CAACTGCCATGTGATTGGTTGATTAGATAATTGCATTAATGAGAAATTGAACAGGTGTTCCTAATAATCCTTTAGGTGAGTGTATATGTTGACTTCTGTCACAGGGACTCCCCTAAAAACACCTGACAGCCCTGGGGGGGTGGGGAGGGGGTAGTCAAGCTTAGCTGCAAAAGTAATGTTAAGCCTCACTTTATATTTTGGCTAACATCATAACGAAACCAGCTGGTTCATAAAACGCACAATATGATTTCATATTCACAATCCACGTGTTATTCTCATAGGTAATGGATTTACCAAAATATTCACAATGCCAACTTCTTGTGTGGCTGCTGGGATGATGTTGGTTCCCATAGCAACCGTGTAGAGTGCAAGCAAGTCATTGGAGTTAGACTTCAGAAAAACAGATTGAGAGAGAGAGATGGAAGGAGATTATTATAAAAATATCCAAGCTGGTGAGAAAACATCTTCAGAGTGACCAGCCGGTCTTTATATAACACACAATGCTACACATACCAAAAATTTCACTGTTTAAGCCATAATTGAAAGACATCACCTAGGGCCGGGTGATGACCAAAATAACATGGGATATTGTAACTGAAAAATATTGGAATAAATGATAGTGTCATCCAACATTCCCCACACCACACATAGACAAGTACGTGGCACATACAGGCCACATGAATTTTTTAGCCAAAAGTATAGCATGAAAGCATGAAAAAATGATAAGTTAAAACTTCCAGATCAGGGTGGGGGGCATGAAATTATTGGTGTTTAGTCTCTGTGGAAAACGACTGGTCGCCAGTCCGGATTTAATTATAATTTAAATCATGTCATGGGCTGTCTGTGTCACGCCCAGCTCCGTCCGATCCTAATGTGTGCCACGCCCACCTCGTTACCTCGTGTTCATCCCTGGTTGTGATCATGTCCTGTTATGTCTGGCTAGTCTTGTGTATTTAGTCCGCGTCTGAGTACGTCTCGTCAGATCCGTCATTGTATTGTCCGTTAGATGTCCCTACCTGTCTGTCTTTTGCTTATTAAAACCCCTGATTACCCGTCAGTTCGGCTCGCTCTCCTGCTTCCCTGCTCACCTTCCTGCCTAATCGTGACAGTCTGGTTCTCAGACTTTTTACACCTCGTTACCACCTCTAGATGCTCTTGGCACAACAATGTATTCCCCAGAACGTCCTGTCACCCCCTGCTCCCCATCTAATCCCGACACCTCCCACACCCCCCTCCTCTATCTCTAGCTCCCATACACTAGGCTTGGGCAACATTTCATTTTTCAAACCATCATGCCATCCATTATGTGTGGTATATGATATTTAGATGGAATTCTTAAAAGTAACAGTATTTTGATATCTTAGTGTTCGGGGCAGGGTTCGCCCACAACAAATTTTGCCACCCAAAAATACCGTGATATACCAAAAATATTACTGTAATACCACCCAAGCCTACCCTACACAATCTCCCTACTTCTCCAAAGAATCTTTACTAAAGCCGCTAACTTTATCTGCCTTGTAATCAGGTTCACCAAATCTCTGCCTGTTCTTTCATGTGTCATCACTGACTAGGCTGCGTGATATGATGAAAATATCCCCTCGGTAAATTTTTACTTAGTTACCTATGATAAATTTTGCCGAGCTGGTGGGCTGCCAATGAATACACTACATTGACAAAAGTATTGGGACACCCCTCCAAAAATTTGAATTCAGGTGATCCAATCACCGGTTCCAAAACCATATGTATTCTCCATACAGAAAAAAACTACAAGGCTGAACTGAAAGCCACATCATAAATGTTTATTATGCTGGTTTGTGTCTAGCCTAAGGCCTGGTTCATACTTCCCACTGATGTGGATGTGTAACGCCTGCACATCATAGTGCCAGGCTACCTGCGATGCTGAATGTTCATGCTTCTTGTGCCAACACGCCAGGCAACCGTGTTCTACCCCACCAGGCCTAGGGTAGGACTGTACAGTAAAATTTATGAAGTGTGCTATGGATGTAATATTTAAATGTTTTTTTTTACTAAAACTAGCCATGCATTATGTGCTTACAGTACATGAGGCAGGGTTATTCTCGTTAACAAAAACTTTTGTAGACTAAAATAATGGTTCTACAATTAACTGAAAAAGAAAAACAAATGTCAAATATTGTGTTACTGTTTACTATTTAGCTAAAGTAACGGACTGTTCATCTTTGGGCCTCTTTCATGTAATGCACTTGAACCACAGAGTCCACTGAGACATTTTGTAGCAGTTAGCAAAAGTCCTACAACTTTCCATGTATCCCTAGAAATAAAATTAATAAAACTTAAACTAAAATATATTGGAACTTGCGGAGTCCTGGAAGGGATATGGAGGGGGGAAAAAACGGTGGCTGGAAAAAACACAATTTTGTGAGATCTGGCAAATTTGGGATGTACTTTTGCGAGAATTGACAAAGGTGAGATTGGCTTTTGCGAGATCTCGCAATACTTTTCCATTGCCATTAATAACTGTGCTGTGTCCCTTTAAAGTACAGATGATGGAATATATTTATGGACTAATAAGTATAAATCTAAGTCATACAGACTGTGTCCATTAGACAGTTGGGCTATTGAACGTGAAGCGCACACACAAACACTGAAATATATTAAAACATTGAAAGATACTACAGCTGGAAAACTGCATACATAGCTAACTTTACCGTGATGTTGGTGTTAAGGTTTAAACTCGAATTCGCTTTCTGGAATATTTCAGTATAGATCCACTTTTCCATGCATACATCATCAAGCGAGACCACCGCAGGGAGATATACCCGAAAGTTACCGTGGCAAAGTTGGTTTTATATTGGCTGGATATTCGGCTTTGCCTCCCCTGTGCGGCATATTCCTTGAAACAAATAAACCAGCGTCGGAAGGGCAGCCTTTTGCTAGGGACCGTCTATAAAGTACATTCAGTAAGAACAGGGATTTTCTAACACAAAAAGACACTTGGAAGAAGAACAAACAATTTGAGTCGCCTTTTAAAATTAAATCCTAAAAGAGATACAATAATTTCACATACATAGTCTACCAATTTGTGAAACTTCAGAAATTGTAGTAGTTGCCAGATTTGATGACTCACCTACTACAAGTGGAATTTCACAGAAATCTCTGATAAGTGTATAGTAATTCAACATGTCTTTTGCAAAATTACTGAAAGCCAAACGAATTTCTCTCATTTCAGAGGATGCAGTAGTTGCCAGATGTGATGATTCACTTACTACAAGTGGAATTTCACAGAAATATCCAACGATAAGTGTACAGTAATTCAATATGTTGTCACCCCCTGCATCCCTTCCCCCTCGTTCTCTCTGTTGTGTGGCTCTAACGAGTCACACCTGTTACTTGTATAATCCTGCCTCTTGTTACAGCTCTTGTGTGGATCACCCCAGGTGCCTCTCATCTGCTCCCTCGTCAGTGGTGTATATAGTGCCTCACTGTCTTAAGCTCCCCAGTCCAGTCATTGATGTTGCTGCCTGTGTGCGCGTGCGCGTGCGCACCCTGGTTTGTCCTCGCTTGATCCTCCCTACCCTGTTTTGACCCCTCCTGGGTTCGGGTTTAAAACCTTAAGTCTGACACTGTGGTGACGTTAGCGTTCATTTCATTCATTTTTCTGACTGTAATATCTTTCAACAAAAGCAAGCAACATTGGTTTTTCAGATTTCTTTATGGCAAAATTTTATATTTCAATGTTTGCGTGTGCACTTCATGATCAATAGCTTAGCTGTCTTGCTTATAGTCACTGGCAGTGAATGAACACAGTGAAAGTATTAATAAATATGTATAAAAACACATTATACATTGTGTGCATTATTCCCCATAGTTTAATGCTTGAAGCACATTTAACTGGACATGTCTGTATTGTTTAGGTTTATAAATATTAGTCCAACTGTCTTGCTTACGGTCACTGGCGGGGAATGGACACAGTGCAATTATTAAGAAATAAATGCGTTTAATACATAAAATGACACTTACATGGTGTGCATTGTCCCCCAAAGTTTAATGCTTAAAGCACACTTTACAGGGCATGTCTGTATCACTTAGGTTTATACTTATTAGTCCATAAATAAATTTAATCTTTTGTACTTTAAATGGACACAGCACAGTTATTAATGGCAATGGATAAGTGTTGCAAGATCTCACAAAAATTCAATCTCACCTTTGCGAGATCTCGCAAAAGTACACCGATGTTTTTTCCTCCATGTCCCTTCCGGGGTTCCGCAAGGAAAAAACAGATGTACATCATTAACATAAAAACTAATAAAACAACACCAGAACTAAAACTAAACTAAATGTTGATTACAATATAGTGTAACATATAGTGAACCTTTACATGATGGAGGGGATGCCAGTGCACCACAGATTACATGCTCACAATTTGCACTTAAAATGGTACCATTTCACCCAACTGTTTTTGCATTGAGGGATGCAAAAGGAGTGCTTGGAGAATTATGTGGGAACATATAAACTCTACAAGCAGAAATGGAGATGGGAACTGAACCCACAACACTACAGGTGCTCAGTGACCATTTACTCAGTGAGTAAATTACAAGATGAAACAAACGCTCAAATATTAAATCCAAAATGGCTACCAGTTTCAATCTTCTATTTGGAGAAAGAATCAGCTGTACCATTTAACACAGCAGCCGAATCCATAGATAAAACTTCTATCATACCATTATTCAGAGGGTGTGATTTAGATCGGAGAGAACGGCTAGGCCTCTGCTCCCTGACTCCAATCCACCAGGGGGCACTGTGAGGGTACAGGGAGCACCACAGACATTGGAGCTGAAATCACAGTGCAGACATCACTGATACTGAGACAAGCCATGGCTCACTGAAACACACACACCTCTTGCTACATCTGCATGAAGTACTCTATACACTCACAACTCACCATTTTGTACTTAGATTCATTCATATGTACTTTCATGCATTTGCTAATCACACTAATCACATTATATTCTCAGTTAACATGCTCAACGGGCTGCTTCAGTTCCTTTTTATTGAGACCGTAATGAAATGCTTGTGCTGGCACTGAGAGTGCCAGCCTTTTCATATAAGCATTTAAAAGTTTGGGATAATGTCACTGACACAGGCAGCACTTTAAATCGCAGCCCCACTATGCATGAGGCTTTTTTCAAACCAACTTCAAAGGGAAGAATCCATTTCCAGAATGTATAAAAAAATAAAATTACAAACATACACAGCGTATCAAGGGGACCCTGCGGTTTCGCACGGTGCAGCCTTGGGGTTTCTCGGGGGGGGGATGCAGGTTTGGCAGGGAGCACACAACCAGAATACTCACAGTCTCAGGGCCCAGTTTCGCTCTGCTCATGGCGGGTGTCCGAGCGACCAGTTACTGACTTTGTAGAGCTGCCGTGCTCGCTGACAGCACTCGTGGGCTCCCACCCCCCCCACATCAGACACACAGTCTCTGCAGCGACCGCCCCACAAGACAACGCGGGTCTCGCTTTGCATAGTATAAATGCGGGGATGTGTCAGGTCATATGTGTAATGGACACGTGAGGTCTGACTTCACTCTGGGCCCGGCAGATCGAGGTCGGAACTGAGATGGGTCACAACCGAACTGGCCATCCCAGATGCACACAGGTGGGCCCCAGCCCTCAGTCCGAACTTCGCAGCTCAGAAAGGTGCAGGCCTGGTTCCAAACCCCCCACACACGGGTTCTTGCTGGCACTGTCTGTCTGTCACATGGTACGATACACAAGTTGCAGGGCGGTCAATGCCGGACAATCAATACCACACGCTGTACAGTAACAAATCAAAACCCAATTAGCCAGAAAGCCAACGTAAGCAGAAGCAACACACAGCCTGCATTCCTGCAGTCCCACTGAACATAATCAAGTGGGTGGGGGGAGAGGTCCTCACACCTCATATACAGGAGGATGACTTCCGGGAAACAAACTCCCAGCAACACTAACACTGACCTCAGGTCCAAGCCGCAGAACCAGACACCCTAGCACACGAGTAACACACAACATTCATGCTTCATACATTTACAGCAAACTTTATTCCAACGTTTTTCATTAAACTTTATTTACCATTTGTATAAGTATGTGTACATTAGAACAATCGACATATTTTGCTCTCTTTTGAGACATGTGGATATATAGACGGGGGAGAGTCAAGCTTGGGTTCAAAGCCCAGCGTCAGCCATTTA